AGCGCAGGCGAGAGGCGAGAAACGATCCCGGATCGCGATCCATGGAGGGAAGCCCCTTCCCCGCTTCAAGGAGAGGGGCTCCGCGCCCTTCCTTGGGGCCAGGCAGCCCCTCCCCTCCCCTCCCCAGGCAGTTTCTCCCCCCCCTCCCCTCCCCTCCCAGCCAGGCGGGCGGGCGGGGCCGGGCAGGCGCGCTCACCTGTGGCCAGGTAAGTCCTCTTGACGCCCGTCTTGGCTTCCAGCGCCCCCAGCGCGTCGTTGAGGGGGCCGGGCTGGGCCAGGAAGGCTTCGAAGCGGCGCCGGGGGCTCCCCATAGCGGCCCAGTGTCCGAGCGACGCCCCGGCCGCGCACCTGGCTCGCCGGCCGATCAGCCCCAGCGCAGGTGGGCGGAGCTCTGGCCCAGGTGAGGCCCGCCTCCCTCGCCGCCGGCAGCCAATCGGGAGCGGGGAGGACAGGTGGCCCGCGAGGATGGAAGGGAGGGGAGGGGAGGGGAGGGCGAGGGTTTAAAAGCCACGTCTTGAGAGCAAAGATTGAGCCGGCAGGGACGGGTGGTTCTCGATTTACGGCCAAAACGGAGCCGAACATGCCGGTTGCTAAGTGAGGCATTTGTTAAGTGAATCATTTTGCCAATTATTTCTTTCCTTCCTTCCTTCCTTCCTTTCTTTCTCTCTTCTCTTATTCTTCTTTTCTTCTTTTTCATTTTTTTCTTTTTTCTTTCTTTTTTTCTCTTTCTTTCTCTCCTCTTTCTCTCCTTTTCTCCTTCCTTTTTTCTTCTTTTTCTTTTTTTTCTTTCTCTTTCTTTCTTTCTTTCTCTCTCCTCTTTTTCTCCTCCTTTTTTCTTTTCTTTCTTTTCTTTTATCTTTTATCTTTTTTCTTTCTCTCTCTTTCTCTCTTCTCTTCTCCTTCTTTTCTTCTTTCTTTTTTCTTTTTTCTTTCTCTTTCTCTTTCTCTCTCCTCTTTTTCTCCTTTTCTCCCTCTTTTTCTTTTTTCTTTTTTCTTTCTTTTTTTCTCTTTCTTTCTTTCTCTCCTCTTTTTCTCCTTTTCTCCTTCCTTTTTTCTTCTTTTTCTTTTTTTTTCTTTTTCTTTCTTTCTCTCTCCTCTTTTTCTCCTCCTTTTTTCTTTTCTTTTTCTTTTCTTTTATCTTTTATCTTTTATCTTTTTTCTTTCTCTCTTTCTCTCTCCTCTTATTCTCCTTCTTTTCTTCTTTTTCTTTTTTCTTTCTTTTTTCTTTCTCTTTCTCTTTCTCTCTCCTCTTTTTCTCCTTTTCTCCCTCTCTTTTTCTTTTTCTTTTTTCTTTTTCTTTCTCTTTCTCTCCTCTTTTTCTCCTTTTCTCCCTCTCCTTTTTTCTTCTTTTCTTCTTTCTTCTTTTTTTTTCTCTCTCTTTCTTGCTCTTTCTCTCTTTCTTTCTCTCTCTCCTCTTTTTCTCCTCCTTTTTTTCTTCTCTTTTTCTTTTCTTTTTTCTTTCTCTCTCTCTCTCTCTTTCTCTCTCTTTCTCTCTTCTGCAGTTGTTAAGTGACTCAAAGAGGTTATTAGGTTATTCAGTTAGTCAGCCGGCTGTTAAGTGAATCTGGCTTCCCAATGCTTGTCAGAAGGTTGCAAAAAAAGGGGGGGATGTCATGTGACCCCGGGACATGGCAGCCATCATAAATATGAGTCAGTGGTTGCAAAAGGGCATCAATTGACTTATGGGATACAGCAACCATCACAAACACGAACCAGCTGTTTGGCAACTGGTTCATATTTATGACGGTTCTGGGGTCATGTGATCTCCTTTTGTGACCCCTGACACATATTTATGACAGTTGCCGTGTCCCGGGGTCACATGATCCCTTTTGAGACTTTTTGACCAGCGGAAGTCAATGGGGAAGCCAGGTTCACTTAACAACCGTGTGGCTAATTTAGCAACCTCCATGAGTCACTTAACAACTATGGCAAGAAAGGTCATAAAATGGGGCACGATTCATTTAACAACGGCCTCGCTTAGCAATTGGAAATTTGGGTTATAAATCAAGGACTACCTGTATAAAAACAGCTTCTACTTGGATGTTATCAAAAGCAACAAATTAGTGCGTAAGGAATAAATAAATGGAGACTTATCTGCTTTTAAAAAATTGGATCCTTCTTGATCTGTTACTGAATTTCCCTTTTTTTTTTTTTTTTTTTTTTTGAGGCTTCAGGCCAAATCTTTCTTACCTTGATTGCAAATCTCATCAAATTCTTTTGGAGCCTGTTTGGGAGCATCAAATGCGAAGCGTCAAATAGTTGAACTGGATATCACCTGGTGCTTATTAATTAAGGAGTAACTCCCCCCCCTAAAACCTTCTGAACATCAACGTTAAAACAACCTACAGCTGAACCTAGGCGGTACAAACACCACTAAACTCAGCTGGAATGGTTTTAGAATAAATGGATTGCATTATAGGATTGGAGCAGGTAATTGGGTGCCACTGCTGAACCACCCAACCGCTTCGATTTTCCCCATCTGTGTTGTGTGAATCCAGGCTCTAAACTGCAGGTGTCAAAAATGCCAATGCAATCCTAGGCTGTATTAACAGAGGGACAGAATCAAAATCATGTGAAGTGTTAATATCACTTTATAAGGCCTTGGTAAGGCCACACCTAGAATTCTGCATCCAGTTTTGGTCACCATATTATAATTAAAAAAAAAGGATGCTGAGTCTCTAGAAAGAGTGCAGGGAAGAGCAACAAAAATGATATGGGGGCTAAAACATATGAAGAACAGTTGCAGGAACTGGGCATGGCTAGTTTAATGAAAAGAAGGATTTGGGGTGACATGATAGCAGCATTCCCATATCTCAGGGGCTGCCCCAAAGAAGAGGGGGTCAAGCTATTCTCCAAAGCACCTGAGGGCAGGACAAGGAACAATGGATGGAAACTAAACAAGGAGAGAAGCAACCTGGAACGAAGGAGAAACTTCCTAACAGTGAGAACAATTAACCAGTGGAACAGTTTGCCACTAGAAGTTGTGGGTGCTTCATCACTGGAGGCTTTTAAGAAGAGACAGGACAGCCAATTGTGTGAAATGATATAGGCCAGGGTCTCCTGCTTGAGTTGAGACCCCACCCCACAAGATCCCTTCCATCTCTGTTATTCTATTAGGTCAGCATGTGATTTGAGCTGGACAAATAGATTTTAAAAAAATTAATACAAAATATAATAAAAAAACAAATAAAAAAATATTTTAGCCCACAAATGTTATTAAAAAGCAGAAATCTTTTCCCTTGTAACCTCTTCACTGCAGCTCACCAATCGGGAAAAAGGGTTTCTGATTTTCTGCTTAATTGGGTTTTTAAAAAGGCTTAATCTCACCGTGAGTTTGCAAGTTATGGGTTACACGTGCACCTCTCTCTAAGCAGATAAGATTGAAGGCGTAGCTACATCTCGATGTGGTTTTCCCAGAGTTTCATCTTTCCCAACAGAGTTGCGTAAAAATCCTCTACAGTGAATAAATAGGTTTGCACGCAGAGCTTTTTAAGTCCCAGTGCACACTATTTTCTCTTGAGCAATGGGCCACGGATCTCTGCAGTGCCCTCAAGGAAGTAAGCCAAGCTTCCCATCTGCACTTAGGATCTCTTGCCTGCAATGGGGCCTTCCAGAATATCAATTAAAGTGAGGCATTCTGTTCTTTGGAACCTGATTGCCACAGATGGCCAAGCTTTCCCTGAAGCTTAGAAAAACCCGGAACCTTGCAAATTAACTCTTTGTATGCTGGTTTAAGGGCAGAAGCTGGGAGATCAATTTCTAACTTGAAAAAGCCACATTCCTCCCCCCCCTCTGGAATTTAACGTTGCAAGATACTTTTAGATAATTTGCCTTCTTATCGTTTTTTCTCCATCATTAAAAGCTCTGCTTTTACAAAAAATATATACATGCGCAGAGATGGATAGATTAACTTTAGAGTTACAGGACAAGGAGGACTCTAAATATTATGAAACATGGAATAGGTGGTACCAATGGATAAACCAGAGGAAAGGAAATGGGTAGAGATGAAATTTAGAAGAAATTAATATAACAAAAAACAGCACTGTCAGAGGTATAGAATATGGAATACTTTATTGTATGTTTGTATATAGGTACATATAATACATAAAATATATTTATATAGAAATGGAAAATAGTTAATAGGTGATGTTTATGTACTGTATATGTAAATTTGTTTCTCAATTGTGAGAAACTTGTATGCTTTTAAATGTTTTTTCTTTTAAACAATAAAGTTTAATTTATTTAAAAAAAAAAAAAGCTCTGCTTTATGGCTTTATGGTTTATTCTTTCATACTCTGCGCATGGTCCAGGGTTCATCGATTTTAGAATAGAATAGCACTCCAGTCTGTTTTTTTTAAATAGAAAAGTGGGTAATTTTTTTTAAATTTTTTTTTATTATTTTAAAAGTTATTTCCTATCTGGAGAATGGCACCTAGATTTATCTTGAAAACTTTGTGCTACTTTGCGTCTAGACTGGGGAATAAACCGTAAGAATGCATGTTTCCTTGGTAACTTCATGGACAGTTTGGGTTTGTTTGTTTTTTTTTGCACCCAATATTGGATTTATCAATTTATCCCTGCTTTTTCTGGGGTTGTTTCTAGGCTAGTCTAGAGCGCTGAGATTTCCTCGTGGTCTCCCATCCAAGAAGCTCCTCCCCCTTCCATTCAATCAGGGAGAGATGGGTGACCGTGGTCCATTTAAATGAAAGCCTTACAAAATGGTAATAAAATGGCCTTACCTTGTTAGAACCCTTCGGTTTTTAGTAGATAACAGGGAAATAATAATAATAATCCCTTTAATTAACCCTGGTGCTATCACAGAGGTATCTTTCAGCAGAAACCACAACTCCCAAGAGCCTTTGCGGCCAACCCTCATTTCCCCCCCCCCACCTCAACGCCACCTGGCCCGATAATCCCCAATCTCCCGCCTTGGCTTCCCGTCGCCATGGCAACCAGGCTCCTCCGAACACATGGAGCGCGCCCAGCCGCTCAGGGTCTCCCGGGGGCGGTCGTGGAGTGCAAATCGAGGCCCAGGCTTCGAAGGGGCCCTAGGCCGCGTTCATGTATAAGGGGGCAGGGCTCTCGCCCGTTCTCCGCCGGCTCGTCCCGTGGCGTTTGAGCGGAGGAGGGCGGGAGCGGCCGCAGAAATGGGCGTCTGGATGCTGCTGCTGCTGCTCTGCTGTGGAGCCTCCAGCGCCGCGAGCATCTACCTGAGCAGCTGGGCCGTGCTCGTCCCTAGCGGCGCCCAAGAGGCCCAGCGCCTGGCCCGCAGGCACGGGCTGCTCTACCTGGGCCAGGTGCGTCGCCGCCTTTCCTCCTCCTGGGCCTGCTTGAGGCGGCGAGGTAGCCTCTGAGCATACGCAGAGCGCCTTTGCAAGGAAAAACAACAACAACAACAACAACAACAACCCAGCCTTTCCCCTCTTCCCCCCCCCCTCGCCTCACCTTGCCTCACCTTTTCTCTGGCAGGGGGTTGCGTGGGTGGGTAGACTGCCACTGCACTTGGAGGTTCCATCAAATGGACATGGCTGGGTGGGGGTGAGGCATTTCTTAGGCGTCTGAGAAGGCCCTGGGTTCGTATTTGGCACCAGAGGGACATTATCAGCCCCCCTCCCCGTCCTTGGGGTGCCCCCCCCCCCCGGCGCCAGCACTCAGATACACTGCTCCTGAACATGGAGGCTCCACTTAGTCAGGACAGCTACCAGCCCAGGGTTGGCCCTCTGCCTCTTGATTCTCTCTGTGGTGTCTTCCCCCACGGTTTGGGGGGGGAAAAAATCCTGTTGCATCTTCAATTATTGGACTTTAAAAGGGGTTTTATTTTTATTTTATTTTGTTCTATGGGGGGTGGATGCTTTAAAAGGAAGCTTTGGAGAGAAGGGAGAAAAGGTGCGTTGGGGTGGGGAGCTTGAACCCCCGTTTCCAGCCTTCGTGGTGGAGTTGGGGGGGCTGTTTTGAAGTTGGTGCAGGGGGGCCTTTTCTAAAGCGCGGGACCCCCAGAATGAAGACCCCAACCCGGTCTTGCAACCAGGCAGAAAAGCAAATTTTGCAGGAATTCCTTGCTGCATATAGAGCCTGTTGGGGTGTATATATATATATATATTTATTTATTTTTATATATATATATATATATCACATTTTTTTCCTGCTCTCTATTGGCTCCGGTTTGCATCTCTTCTGGGAGGCTGAAGGAGCCTTGGTAGTACAGTGGTCTAAAGCACCCTGTTATTAAGAACAGCTGCCTGCAATTACCGCAGGTTCGAATCTCGCCAAGGCTCAAGGTTGACTCAGCCTTCCATCCTTTCTAAGGTAGGTAAATTGAGGACCCAGATTGTGGGGGCAATAAGCTGACTTTGTATAAATATACAAAAGGATGAAGGCTATTGCTGAGCACATTGTAAGCCGCCCTGAGTCTCCAGAGAAGGGCGGCATATAAATCAAATTTTTAAAAAAAATAATTAAAAAAAGGAGCAAGGAAAGAGCGTGCTGGAAAAGAAAAATACTGCTTTTTTTTTTGGAGAGAGAAAAGGGGAGACAAGGGGAAAGGGGGGAGTTCCCCTCATGGGTTTAGACCCTACTTTTTGTAAAAAAAAAAAAAAAAGGCTTGGGGTAAGATGAAATCACCTGCTAAAGTCAAAGTTAAGCCATCATCCCCCTGGAGCAGAGTGATTATGGATCTTGGGGGTGGGGAGGTAGCATGGCGGTCTGCAGAGAATAGGGGTGTGGACCCCAGGAAATTAGGGGTCCCCTGGCGAGGGGAGGTTTCCTGTGTCTGGGGCGTTACTGGAGGGGAAATTCTGAAAAAATCTGAAAGATGCCAATGCAGCAAACGTTTTTTATTTTATTATTCTTTTTTGGTTCCTCACACAATCAGCCAGGTATTCAGACTGGCTTTGTCCTTTCTGCCTCCCTGTTGAGTCCTATATTCTTTTATTGCTTTATTAAATTTATTGGCTGCCCATCCTTTTTATTCCGAGAGGGTGAGAACCGAGTCTTGCAATGCAGAGGTCTTGCGTCATTTCTATTAAACCATTTGTTCCCTCTCTTCCTCTTCCTTTTGAAAAACCGGGCTAGCTCCTTCTTAATCAGATCGATGGGGATCTATTTTGAAGGTATGCAATCAGGCCTGGGAAAACAGATCAAGAGGGAGAGGGTTTCCAAGGCAGAGTGGAGAGGAGGAGACCGATCCCAAGTGATTTTGTGATCTGTGCTTATTTTGCAGAAAAGGTGGGTTTGCAAATTCAAAAGAACCAACTACCTGGAATGAATGGAAGTGCTGGGTGGGAGGGGGGAGGAAGAGCAGAGGATTGAGAAGAAGTTGCCCCATGAAATATTTTAATTTTGCCGAGATGTCAGTACTTTTCTGGTTGGAATCGGGCCGTTTTTTTTTTAGTACCTGCAACTTTTTGTAACTTTAAGATAAGTGGATTTCAAATCCCAGAATTCAAAGCAAAGCTGGCTGGGGAATTCTGGGAATTGAAGTCCACTATCTTAAAGTAGCCAAGGTTGAGAAAAGGTAGAGGCGCCTTTTAGCTGAGTTCTTCCTCCATCTCTGTTCTTTTGGTGTTTCGAGGGTGGGTCGAAAGCTTGGATAACGTTTTGCCCTTCTGCGTTGCAGGTGATTGCAGGGGAGCCCTACTTCCACCTGAAACACAGGGGCATGGCTCAGAAATCTTCAACCAGGCACCGGGGGTGGCATCTCCGCCTGAAAAGAGACCCTCAGGTAAGCCCATAGGCAGAGGGCCTCCTGAAGGCTCTCTAGTCTGACTTCACTTGCACAACACTTAAACCACATTGGACTGCTCTGGCTAATCGCACCTTCAGAGTTTGCCCTCTTGAACCTTTCTGCTATGGACAGTCTTGAAAAATGCAACCGTACCTGTCTTCCTACCCCCCACCTGTTTCTCATAGCACTCAACTCCAAGTGACACACCTGTTTTCTTCAACTTTTCATTGTGTGTGTGTGTGTTTCCCCAATCCTGCGCTGCCAATCCTCTCCCCTCCCCTTCTGTCTATCTCTTTCTCTACCTCTTTGGATGCTGGCAATATACCTTAAAGATGGCCTGTTTATAGGTTATCAAAGGCAAAATAGAATAGAATATTCTTTATTGGCCAAGTGTGATTGGACACACAAGGAATTTGTCTCCGGTGCGTAAGCTCTCAGTGTACATACAAACTGTAGGTTGTCATGATCAATCATGATCATAGTCATCGTAAAAAAAAAAGAAAAGAGCCTTGGTAGTACAGTGGTTTAATGCACCCTGTTATTAAGAACAGCTGCCTGCAATTTCTGCAGGTTCAAATCTCACCAGGCTCAAGGTCGACTCAGCCTTCCATCCTTTCTAAGGTAGGTTAAATGAGGACCCAGTTTGTGGGGGCAATAAGCTGACTTTGTATAAATATACAAATGTATGAAGGCTATTGCTTAATGCATTGTAAGCCACCCTGAGTCTCCGGAGAAGGGCGGCATATAAATCAAATTTTTTTAAAAAATGCATTCATCATAAATCATAAGATACAACACTTAGTGATAGTCATAGGGTACTAAATAAGCAATCAACAAAAAATCATATACTAGGATACTAAATAAAACAATATGTAAATCATAAGATACATACAACAAAGTTACAGTCAAAAGAAGATAAGGAGATGAGGCTCTGAAGCTGAAGAAGCTTTTTGGATGAGAAGCGGAATGTCTTCAAAGAAAAACCGGAAAGTCCAGTTGCCTCTTGAACAAGCCCCTTTGGGATATGCTCAGTTTAGGAAGATCCTAACAAACAAGGAACGCCTCTCTGTCTGGACCCTGTACGTCTATATAGACTGAGTTGCCGTGCTATGGGCACAGAGAGTCCCATAAAATATAATTTTATCTTACAAAACACACATAGCTGCTTATCCTGCTAACCACCATCCTGGGCAGTGCACGAAACTAATCATTGAATCCTAGGACTGGAAGGGACCTCGGAGGTCTTCTAGTCCCATCCCCTGGTCAAGGCAGGAATCCTTATCCCATCCCAGAGAAATGGCTGTCCAATCTTTTCTTAAAAACTCCAAGGACGCAGCACCCACAAGTCTGGTAGGGAAACCGTTCTTTTGATTAATTGTTCTGTCAGGAAATTTCTCCTTACTTCTAGGTTCTTGCTCCTTACTTCTAGGTTCTTACTCCTTACTTCTAGGTTCTTACTCCTTACTACTAGGTCCTTACTCCTTACTTCTAGGTTCTTACTCCTTATTTCTAGGTTCTTACTCCTTTTAGGTTCTTACTCCTTATTTCTAGGTTCTTACTCCTTACTTTGAGGTTCTTACTCCTTACTTAGAGGTTCCTACTTCTAGGTTCTTACTCCTTACTTCGAGGTCCTTACTCCTTTTAGGTCCTTACTCCTTACTTCTAGGTTCTTATTCTTACTCCTTATTTCTAGGTTCTTACTCCTTTTAAGTTCTTACTCCTTACTTCTAGGTTCTTACTCCTTACTTCGAGGTTCTTACTCCTTACTTCGAGATTCTTACTTCTAGGTTCTTACTCCTTACTTCTAGGTCCTTACTCCTTTTAGGTTCTTACTCCTTACTTCTAGGTTCTTACTCCTTACTTCTAGGTTCTTACTCCTTTTAGGTTCTTACTCCTTACTTCTAGGTTCTTACTCCTTACTTCTAGGTTCTTACTTCTTCTAGGTTCTTACTCCTTACTTCTAGGTTCTTACTCCTTACTCCTAGGCTCTAGGAAGGGGGTCGATTTATTTTCCAAAGCACCTGAAGGCCGGACAAGAAGCAACGGATGGAAATTAATCAAGGACAGAAGCAACCTGGAATTAAGGAGAAACTTCCTAACAGTGAGTGCAATTAACCAGTGGAACAGCTTGCCACCAGAAATTGTAGGTGCTCCATCACTGGAGGTTTTTTATGAAGAGACTGGACAGCTACTTATCTGAACAGGTATACGATCTCCTGCTTGAGGAGGGGGCTGGACTAAGAGACCAGCCCTTCCAGCTCTATTCTGATTCGAGGTTGTTTCTCTCCTTGATTGGTATGCATCTGTTGCCCTCTGGTGCTCTTTTTTGTGACAAACCCTCCAATATTGCAAGACCGATATCATGCCACCCCTTATGACTTTTCCTCACTAGGCTAAACCTACCTAGTTCTCTTAGCCATTTGTCATACAATTTAGCCTCCATCTTTGTGGCTCTTCTCTGATCTCTTTTCCACAGCCTCGCTCGGCGTGTATCCCTTCCATCTCAATAAATCTGGTTAAAGAAAGCTTTGCAAGAGCAAGGGTGGGGGTGGGGGTGGGGGAATCATGGTTCCTTTTTAGGGGATAGCCAAAGAATTGCACAGCCCAAGACATTGTAGGAAGTTAACCCCCGCCCCTCTCCTAGGAAAATGAGATATTTTAGGAAATATTAAAAGGGCAGAATATTTCCCCTAAAAGGGAGGCAGAAACTCAGCCCCCCTCCTTCTCCCCGCCACCTTTGTCAATGGGCCATTAAGGCCTGGGGCAGTCTATTCTGCATAAGAAAGATCTCCATCCTTCAGTCAAAGCCATAGTAGGAATTGCCCAAAGCCCTTTCATTACATCATCACCCAGCAAGGCTCAACCAAGCCTGGGACACAGACAACCTACAGAGTTACCCCTGCATGGCCCTATGGGAGTCTGGCAACCAATCAGAACACAAGCTCAATTTTTTTATTTATTTTTTAAATTTGATTTATATGCCTCCCTTCTCCGGAGACTCAGGGCGGCTTACAGTGCGTTAAGCAATAGCCTTCATACTTTTGTATATTTTATACAAAGTCAGCTTATTGCCCCCACAAACTGGGTCCTCAATTTACCTACCTTAGAAAGGATGGAAGGCTGAGTCAACCTTGAGCCTGGCGAGATTCGAACCTGCAGTAATTGCAGGCAGCTCGTGTTAAATTACAGTGCCTTTGTCTGCTGAGCTATCCAGGCTCTGGAGGCTCAAAAGCTTAAGAGAGGGCATAAAACCCAGGCACTCTCAGCATCTCATCCCTTTTTTTGCCCAGGACTTCAAAAAAACCATGTGGTCCTGTCCACCAGTAAACAATCTTTTCAAGCAGTCTCCCTGTTTCCAGTGTCTTTCTCCTCACTTGGAACCGAACTCAGACGGACATTTCTTCCAACAATTAAACAGACCCAGATTTTATGAGCCGTGTGTCCTTTTTGCAGACGTTGTGAAAGGAAGTGATAGGAGTTTCGGAAAAATAAGAGACTTGCCACGGTGGCTGGATATCCCAGCCTGCCTGGTTTAGCTACCCTGACAGATAGAAATCTGATCCCAACAAGATGGGGAATCTGCTGTCCGCATCCCGCTGGTCCCAAAAGAAACAACTTGGGGCCGTGGGTGGAACAAAACAGATCGTTTACTTTGGTTTAACCTCCGTGGCTTTGGCTCTAGATCCCGTGGTTTGAACAGCAGGCGCTGAAGAGGCGGACAAAGAGAACGGCCACGATTGTCCCCACCGATCCGTGGTTCCATAAGCAGTGGTACATGGTGAGTGGGGCAAGAAAGCGGGAGGATTGGACCCTGCTTCCCCACCCCTCCCCACTCCTTTCTAAGGCTGGGAAGACCTCGTGGGGCCCTTGGCGCTCTCTGAGCTGGGTTGTTTTCTTGCAGGCGTTTCATTACCCAACTAGGTAACATCATCAGTGTTAGAAGGGAGTGGGGTTTGTGGGGAGGAGAAAGGAGGACTTTAGGGTTCTTCGTTGCTCTCGCAGTGGGGTTGTTTTGTACAGATATTTCATTACCCTGTTAGACAACATCTTCAATGCTAAAATATAGTGGGGTTGGGGAGGAGGAGGAGGAGGAGGAGGAGGAGGAAGAGTAATGACTGTGGGCTCCTTGATGATCTCATTTCATTACCCAACTAGGGAACATCATCAGTGCACGTAGTAATGAAACCTCTGCAAGAAAACAACCAGCCTCAGAGAGCGCCCAGGATCCCACAGTCATTGTCTTTTTAAAAAAATTTGATTTATATGCCGCCCTTCTCCGGAGACTCAGGGCGGCTTACAGTGCGCTAAGCAATAGCCTTCATACTTTTGTATATTTATACAAAGTCAGCTTATTGCCCCCACAATCTGGGTCCTCATTTCACCTACCTTAGAAAGGATGGAAGGCTGAGTCAACCTTGAGCCTGGTGGGATTCAAACTTACAGTAATTGCAGGCAGCTGGTGTTAATAACAGTGCTTTAGTCTGCTGCACTACCAGGTCTTCCTGCTCCTCCTCCTGCTGGTCCTGCTGCTCTTCCTCTTCCTGCTCCTCCTCCTCCTCCCCCCTTCTCTGCCATTCCTTAAGCCACACTCTGTCAATGTTATCTAGTTAAGTCATGATGTTACCTCTCAAGCCATTCGGAGGATCCCCGGATGGCAGCGCAGGCTGTCTAGAGGCGTAGGCAGCGGAGGGCAAGTGGCCAGCCCGGCCCTCGAGCTCCCAGGGCACCGGAATCCCACAGCCCACCCTAGTCCCACTTCCCCGAGCAGCTGCCCGGCTGCACTTACCTCCTCCTCGAGGCTGGCTCTGCTGTATTCACTTTCCTTGGCCAGGTTGCTCATGGTGTGTGCAGGAGGGCGAAGGGTGTGGGTTAGAGGGAGGCCCACTCCCTCTCCATGCGAGGAGACCAAGCTTTGTAACCAAAGCATCCTCAGTGATAGGATGGGAAACCACCAGGAGAGGTCAGGAGGAGGGGACAAGGGGATGGCAAAAGGCAGCAGGGCTGCTGTGGCCAAGTGCTAAGGCAGGGCTTCCCTTAGACCCTCTCTCCCTCTCATTATAACCTACCTTCCTTCCTCCCTCCCTCCCTCCCTCCCTCCTTCCCTCTCTCTCTCTCCCTCCCTCCTTCCTCCCTCCTTCCTTTCTTCCTTCCTTCCTTCCTTCTTTCCTTCTTCCCTTTTCTTCCCTCTTCATTTTCCTTTCTTCCTTCTTCCTTCCCCTCTTTCCTTCCTTTTCCTTCCTCACTCCCTTCCCACCTTCCCTTCTTTTCCTTTGTCTTTCCCCTTTCTCCTTTCCTGTCCCTTCATGGATGGCTCAAATGCAAAAGGGGAAACGTTTCTCGAAGCCTCCTTGCCTTGTGATCAAATGCCACTTTTGCCAGTCCTTTGTTTGACTGCAGCGAAAACGGCAGAGTGGTTGCAGCTGCGACGGACGCTCTAGATCAGCGCCTGGTTGGCCTGGGTCAGTCCGAGGCTCCATGGGCAGGTCCTTCACTGTTTCCAGGGTGGCCCCACGGGCCTTGAGTTTGACACCCCTACTTTGGAGAGTAGACTGACCCCCCCCTTCTTTGTGGGAGCCCCTCAAATGTCGGAAGACTGCTATCATGTCACCCCTGGTCCTTCTTTTTCATCAAACTAGACATTCTCAATTCCGGCAACCGTTTTTTTAATATATATTTTTATATAACTGCTTCATATTTATGACGGCTACAGCAACCCGAGGTCATATTTGATTCCCTTTCACGACCTCCTGCCAAGCAGTGGGGAAACCAGATTCACTTAACAACCGTGTTACTAATTTAACGACTGCAGTGATTCACTTAACAAATGCGGCAAAAAAAATATATATCGTAAAACGGGGTAAAACTCAAATTAACAAATTTCTCACTTGGCAGCATAAATTTTGGGCTCAATCGTGGTCGTAAGTTGAGGACTTGCCCGTATAGGTTTGAGCAACCCGTCTCCTGGACCAGAACTTTAAAAGTGTCGTCCTGATTCTTTGAGCTCGAGCTTTAGGGGGGGGTCCTTGAAAGGATCGCTGAGGTCCAAAGCCCATCCTCGGATCTCAATTCCCTGCACCGCGGAGCCCTCAGCCTTATCTTTTCCATCGTAGAACAACGATATCACTCCAGACCTCAACGTCCTCACCCCATGGAGCCAGGGCTACACTGGCTTAGGCGTGGTGGTGAGCATTTTGGACGATGGGGTGGAGAAGAACCATCCTGACCTTGAGGCGAACTACGTGAGTACATCCCTACCTGGTGGAGGGGGAGGGAGGAAAGCCACAGGGAGGTGGAAATGATCTCGATGCCGCCTTTATCTGACTGCAGGCCATCAGGTGTGCCGGGGGGGGGGGGGGGGGGGGGGAGGGATCTTTCCAGGAGTTGTGGACAGGCTGATTGCAAATTCTGGCAGGCCTAAGATGAAGGGCGGCATGCACTGAACTGAAGGCCTGCCTACCAGGAAAGATGGGAACTAAAAAGAATGAAAACACATCAAGGAAGCCCTTGGAATGTGTGGCTTTCCCAAGTGGGCCTTCCTCAAATCTCAAAAAAAAAAAAAAAAAAAAAAAAACCACCTACAGGAGCTCCTTCATAACAGACAACGAAGAGGATAATAAAACGAAGCAACGTTGTCACTCCATACATTGCAGGAATATTGGGAAAAGCTCAGGAGGATCTTCAACCAACACAACATACCTGCACACTTCAAACCCAAGAATACACGAAGGCAGAAGAGGCCATCTGTGTCAAAATTGAACGTCCCTCTCTCAACAGAGGGGGAGGGATATGACATAATCTATCTCCACTCTACAACACGGTCCTTTCAACAGTTCCAAAAAGGCTCCACCTCCATTTGCATCACTCAGGTGACCCTAAAGACACAGACCAACCTCCAGGTGGCCTCAATGACTCTCTAAAAGGATGCAAATGACCAGCAGTCTGTTGGATGAGAAGCGAAATGTCTTCAAAGCCGCCTTGAGTCTTCGGAGAAAGGCGGCATCCAAGTTGAACAAATAAATAAAGAAAAACCAGAAAGTCCAGTTGCTTCTTGGAAAAGAAAGCACCTTTGGGACGACAAATGGGAAATAATCAAGCAGAGAAGCAGCCTAGAAGTAAGGTGAAATTTCCTGACAGTGAGAACGATTAAGCTGTTGTGGCTCCGTTACCTGAGCCTGTGTCATCGGCAGGAGAGGACTCCGAGAGTGAAGGAGAGGAGTTGGCAAGGCCTCCCTCTCCAGGACCCTCCTCTCTGGCAATGCCTTTGGTGTCCGCCGAAGGGCAAGAGATAGGGCCGGGGCCAAGCACGTCCACGCAGCCACAGATGGACAATGATGAGGGTAATGAGTCTTGGCTGGATCCACGCCAGCGGCGCAGAGATAAGCGCACGCAACAGAAGAAAAGGTGTGCCCGAGATTAGGCTGAGTCACTGGACCACACCCCACAGGGTATAAAAGGGAGCGTGGTGGCCAGTCAAACCTTGTGACGAACAAAGCTGAAAGCTTCCACGCCATTCTGCATTGCCGGACTTTTTGCTATAGACTTTGCTGGATTATCTCTGGACTTGATTGACTCCGTAATTATTGAGCTGTTTCTTTTGATGTACCAGGAGTGGGGAGAAGTTATCTCTTCTCTTCGTAAATAATAAACTCTTGGCAGGCAGCCACTAGGTTGTTGCCAAGTTCCGTTATCATAAGGAAAAGGATTTTGCCGGCTGGTTTGGTCTTTAACTCTTGAACGTCTGTTGGTGTGTGTGCGTGGGGTTGGGGACAGAACATAAGCAATGGGACAGCAGTTGCCTCCAGAAGTTGTGGGCTCTTCATCAGTGGGAGTACCAAAGGTGCTTTTCCAAAAGGCAGCTGGACTTTTGTTTTGTTTTGTTTTTTTTCCTGGAAGACGTTTCGCTTCTCGTCCAAGGAGATTCTTCCGTTCCGACTGCATGGTGGAGAATGGAAACCCGTTCATACTCCCACCCCATTGAAAAGGTTGTGTTCATCCCAAAAGTGCATAGCTGAATGTCTACGGAGATTCTCAACCATCCCAGGTCATGGTTGTCCCAAAGGGGCTTCCTTTCCGAAGGCAACTGGATTTTCTTACTTTTCTTTTTTTTCTTTGAAAACATTTCGCTTCTCGTCCAAGGAGCTTCTTCGGTTCTGACTGCCTGGTGGCGGACGGAAGGATTTCTATTCCTTGCAGTCCTCTGGTCGTTGGCGCTCCTTCTGAGGATCTCTGAGGCCACTTGGAGGTTCCTCTGTGCCCTCAAGGTCCCTTCAGTGGGAGCAGGGTCAGTTCTGGGAGTTGAAGATCCACCCGTCTTTTGCTAAGGTTGAAAAATACTGCTCTATGTTTGAACCACCCGACTTCTCATTGGCCTCAACCCCAAGGGTCAGCCCCCCAACCCCCCTTCCCCCCCCAAAAAAGGGGCTCCCAAATCTTTCTGGTCCTCTGTATTTATTTCTGTTTCTCCCAAAGTTCAAATGATAACAGTTTCCCCAAAAGTCTGTTTGGAGCCTGACTGGCCTTTCCTTCAGTCTGCAAATATGAAATTTCCTCCTTCCAGGATCCTCTGGCAAGTTACGACTTTAATGACAATGACCCAGACCCTCAGCCACGCTACAACAGGTGGAATGAGAACAGGTAGGGTTTTTTTTTTTTTTTGGGTGGGTATGTGTGTTTGTGTGTGTTTGTGTTTGTGTGTCCAGTTGCCCACTATCTTGGAGCTGTCGACTTCCCATTTCTCCTGGCTGGCATGGGAAAGCTGAGAAAGTATTGTGAGAGTTTTAGTTTGGAGTCAAGAGTTAGCTTGCCTGCCCCTGGATAGGAGACATTTCAGAATAATAGGATTGGAAGGGATTCTATGTGATCAACCAACCTTCCTTCCTTCCTTCCTTCCTTCCTTCCTTCCTTCCTTCCTTCCTTTCCTCCCCTTCTTTCTTTCTTTCTCTTTCTCTTTCTCTTCCTCTTCCTTCCCTTCCCTTCCCTTCCCCTCTTCTCCTCTTCCCTTCTCTTCCATTCCATTCCATTCCCTTTTCCTTTCCCTTTATTTATTTTATTTATTTTATTATTCATATTTCTATGCCGCCCACTCTCCGAGGACTCTGGGCGGCTTACACCAAAGACAGTATACTAAATAGCATATTGCCCCCCAACAATCTGGGTCCTCATTTTACCCACCTCGGAAGGATGGAAGGCTGAGTCAACCTTGAGCCGGTGAGATTTGATCCGCTGATCTGCTGAACTAGCAGTCAGCTGAAGTAGCTGCAGCACTGCACTCTAACCACTGCGCCACCTCGGCTCCTTAACCCTTTCCTTTTCCCCTTTCCCTCCCCTCCCCTCCCCCTTTCCTATCCTATCCAATCCAATCCAGACAGTCACTTATCTAAAATAGTACAGGTTCTCCTGTTTGAGCAGGGGGCTGGACTAGAAGACCTCCCAGGTCCCTTCCAGCTCATTCGATTCTATTCTAATTGCAGTGGGTTCTCCAACTGATCCTACCATGTAGATGTACATATTCAGAGATAAGGGTCTGGATCTTCGGGGGCCCCGTTTGCGGCCTGAAGTGATCTCTTCAAAGATCTCTGATCTCTGTGACTCGAGAGAAATCAGCCTGGAGCTTTGCAGCAGGGAAGGAGCAGGATTTGGCCAGCTGAAAAACAAAAGACCTGCCACCCCCTCACGTTAAAAACGTGGAACGCCTTGGGTCCCAGAATTGTGGTTGCTCCCATTGCTGGAGGTTTTGAAGAAGAGATTAGACAGCCGTTGTCCGGAATGATAACAGGGGTCTCCTTCTTGAGCAAAGGGTTGGACTAGAAGACCTCCAAGGTCCCCTTTCTGCGATTCTGTTATTCTCTCTTTGGCCCTTTCTTCTTTCAGGCACGGAACACGCTGCGCAGGAGAGGTTGCCGCTGCCGCTAACAACCACGTCTGTGGAGCCGGTATCGCGTACGGGGCCAAAATTGGGGGTACGAGACCTCTCTGTGCTTTTAGAATAGGCATGAGCTATCAGGTGCATCATGAGAGGGTCTGTTGTGGCCCATACGCGGCCTGTGCAGCTAGTAGCTGATTCCGACAGCGTGGAGGCTGGTGTGGTGCTGCGCCAGCAGCCTGTGCAGCTGGCACTCGAGTCGGACAGTGAGGAGGCTGGAGAAGATGTGGTGCCAGAGGCGGGGATTCAGCCGGGGCCTTCAGAACCTCCAGAAGCTCCTTTAAGTGAAGAGGAAGAAGAGGAGGAGCCTCTTCTCAATGCACGGGCGCGCAGAGCTGCCAAAAGGCAGGAGTGGCTCCTCAGGAGGAGGTCTCCTCGAGAGTAAGGCTTGGGGCTAATTGGCCACTCCCTTAGCCTATTTAAGGAGGAACGCCGACTGAAGCAATTTGCAGGGAACAACTTCGTTCACATACCTTCCTGTCTTGTCTTGCTTATCTTATCAGCTTCCTGCAAATTGCTTCTGGGCATTCTGCCAACCACAGTAAGCTTTCAGTTATTATTCTTTGAATTCTTGGCAACTGTTAATGCAATTAATTAACAGCCGCTGTTGTAAAAGACAGATTTATTCAGTAAACTAAGGTTTGAACGGACTTGGTGTGTGCTGCGTTCTTTGGGGTCTGTAGCCTGGGGCAGAACAAAGTCCGGGGGCGGGGAGGCTGGACACGGGTGGAAAATTCTGGGTCCGTCTGGGAGGTTCTGAATTTCTGTACCTGGAATCCATAACGCCAACGGGGATGGTTTACATCCCGCGTACTTGCTGGCTGGGGGATCCTGGGACTTGAAGCCCACACAGGTTAAAAGTTTTAAAGATGTGTGGACTTCCATTCCCAGGGTCCTTGTCTGGCTGTAGGTTTGCCCCCTTTTATGACCTTCCTTGCCATCGTTGTTAAGTGTATCATTGCATTGTTAAATCACCCGGTTGTTAAGTGAATCTGGCATTCCCCACTGGTCAGGAGGTTGCAAAAGGGGGGACCATGTGACACCCCCCCCCCCGGGACACTACGACCATCATAAATACGAAGCAGTGGCCAAGCGCCTGAATTTTGATCACATGAGAAATGGTCCTACGTCACTTTTTTCAGTGCCGTTTGTAAGTTTGAACGGTCACTCGACGAATTGTTCGTAAGTCAAGGACTGCCTGAATTGCCTATTTTACCCATTCAAGTTTGTAGACCAGCTGTTTTCGATGTGCTTAAGGGCGAGGCCATTTTTTCTCAACCTTAGCCGCTTTAAAGCTGTGTGGACTTCAACTCCCAGAATTCCCCATGGCTGACTGGGGAATTCTGGGAGTTGAAGTCCACACAGCTTAAGAGTTCGACGGATGGATGAAACATCTGCAGCGCACCTCAGGAGATTTGTAGCATAGCTGTCTGGGGAATTCTGGGAGTTGAGGTCCACACAGCTTAAAGTTCTATGAATGAATGAGTGAATGAATGAATGAATGAATGAGTGAGTGAGTGAGTGAGTGAATGAATGAATGAATGAATGAATGAATGAATGAATGAATGAATGAATGAATGAATGAAACATCTGTGGTACACCTAGGAGATTTGTAGCATAGCTGTCTGGGGAATTTTGGGAGTTGAAGTCCACACAGCTTAAAGTTCTATGACTGAATGAATGAATGAATGAATGAGTGAGTGTGAGTGAGTGAGTGATGGAATGAATGAATGAATGAATGAATGAATGAATGAATGAATGAATGAATGAATGAATGAATGAAACATCTGCGGTACACCTAGGAGATTTGTAGCATAGCTGTCTGGGGAATTCTGGGAGTTGAAGTCCACACAGCTTAAAGTTCTGTGAATGAATGAATGAATGAATGAATGAGTGAGTGAGTGAGTGAGTGAGTGAGTGAGTGAGTGAGTGAGTGAATGGAATGAATGAATGAATGAATGAATGAATGAATGAATGAATGAATGAAACATCTGTGGTACACCTAGGAGATTTGTAGCATAGCTGTCTGGGGAATTTTGGGAGTTGAAGTCCACACAGCTTAAAGTTCTATGAATGAATGAGTGAATGAATGAATGAATGAATGAGTGAGTGAGTGAGTGAGTGAGTGAATGGAATGAATGAATGAATGAATGAATGAATGAATGAATGAATGAATGAATGAATGAAACATCTGTGGTACACCTAGGAGATTTGTAGCATAGCTGTCTGGGGAATTTTGGGAGTTGAAGTCCACACAGCTTAAAGTTCTATGAATGAATGAATGAATGAATGAATGAATGAATGAATGAATGAATGAATGAAACATCTGTGGTACACCTAGGAGATTTGTAGCATAGCTGTCTGGGGAATTCTGGGAGTTGAAGTCCACACAGCTTAAAGTTCTATGAATGAATGAGTGAATGAATGAATGAATGAGTGAGTGAATGGAATGAATGAATGAATGAATGAATGAATGAATGAATGAATGAATGAATGAATGAATGAATGAATGAATGAAACATCTGTGGTACACCTAGGAGATTTGTAGCATAGCTGTCTGGGGAATTCTGGGAGTTGAAGTCCACACAGCTTAAAGTTCTATGAATGAATGAGTGAATGAATGAATGAATGAATGAGTGAGTGAGTGAATGGAATGAATGAATGAATGAATGAATGAATGAATGAATGAATGAATGAATGAATGAAACATCTGCGGTACACCTAGGAGATTTGTAGCATAGCTGTCTGGGGAATTCTGGGAGTTGAGGTCCACACAGCTTAAAGTTCTATGAATGAGTGAGTGAATGAATGAATGAATGAATGAGTGAATGAATGAATGGAATGAATGAATGAATGAATGAATGAATGAATGAATGAATGAATGAGTGAATGAAACAAACATCTGTGGTACACCTAGGAGATTTGTAGCATAGCTTGTCTGGGGAATTTTGGGAGTTGAAGTCCACACAGCTTAAAGTTCTAGGAAGGAAGGAGAGGGAGGAAGGAGAGAGGGAGGGAGGGAATGTAACATCTGCAACACATCTACCATTTGATTTTCCATTCTGAGCTTTGATAGCGTCTGAGAACAGAAGCCTGTCAGCCCAGACAAAGGAAGAACTTTGCCGAATGTCTCCTTCCTTCCTTCTTGTTCTCCTTCCAGGCGTGAGGATGCTGGATGGCGACGTGAACGATATCGTGGAGGCCCAGTCGTTGAGTCTCCAGCCACAGCACATCGACATCTACAGCGCCAGCTGGGGTCCCGAGGATGACGGGAAGACGGTGGACGGCCCGGGGGTCCTGGCCAGAGAGGCCTTTCACAAGGGGGTAGCCAATGTGAGAGTGGGGAGGGAGTCCCTGCGTTTGCCAGCCTCTGATTTTGGGGGATGGAGGTGCCTCTGATCTGGAATGGGACAACTTGCCACGGCCGATTCGCCATAGAGCTCCGGTGGCAGAGTGGCGAGAATGCAGCATTGCAGGCTGACTCTGCCCACTGCCAGGAGTTCGATCCTGACCGGCTCCAGGTTGACTCAGCCTTCCGTCCTTCCAACGATGTTAAAATGAGGACCAAGATGCTTGGGGGCAAGAGGCTGACTCTGTAAACCACTTAGAGAGGGCTGTGAAGCGATATATAAATCTAAGTGCAGAGAGAGGGAGGGCCATGGTGGCACACTAGTTACAATGCAGCTTTGCAGGCTAACTCTGCCCACTGCCAGGGGTTTGATCCTGACCTGTTGAAAGTTGATTCAGGCTTCTGTCATTCACGGTTGGTAAAATGAGGACCCAGATTGTTGAGGGTGAGACTCTGTAAACCGCTTAGAGAGGCCTTTAATGCACTGTGAAGCGGTATATAAGTCTAAGTGCTAAGTGGGAAGGGAGGGAGGGAAAGAGGGAGAGAGGAAGGGAGGGAAAGAAGGAAGGAAGGAAGGAAGCCATGGTGGTGCAGTTAGCCTGCAAGACTGCAGTTAGAATGCAGCCTTGCAGGCTAACTCTGCATTCCTGTCAGAGTGTCAGCAGTTCAATTCTCACCAGGCTCAAAGTTGACTCAGCCTTCCGTCCTTCCTTCCGAGGTGGGTAAAATGAGGACCCAGATGGTTGGGGGCAACAGGCTGACTCTGTAGCTCTCTTAAAGAGGGCTGTAAAGCACTAAAAAGTGCTTTATATAAGTCTAGTGTTGCTGCTTTAGCCAACTCGCCATGGCTAACTTCCCCTGGGACAATTCAATAACTTTATTTAAAATGATTTTTAAAAATGTTTTACTTCTTGTCATCCCCATTTCATTTTGCCCCTCCTTTTTCATCCTTCCTTTCACGGTTCTATTCCACCGTTTCTTTGACATCACCTAACTTTTGTCCCGCGGCAAGTTGGCCGTAGGGAATTGTCCCGTGGTCCATTGACCATGGTCCGTTGTCCTAGATCCGTCTGTTCGGCTGGATGAGGGCAGCACAAGTTCCCCGTATCTCCTTAAACTGGAACTGAACCCGGAGCGAACCCCAAGGGGCTCGAAAGTGCCATAAATATTGAATTTTAATCCCCTGGGTTTGTTGCAAACGGTAATAAAGTGTGAAAAAAAATGGCCGTTTTTCAGCACCGTGGAAACTTGGGACGGTCACTAAATGAACCATTGTAAGTTGAGGACTTCCTGCATTCCTCTCCCCCAGGGGGAGAGCCTTCTCTGTGGGGAACGAGGGGAACGAGCTCCCCCCAGAGATACGGAGGATCCCGGATCTGCGCACTTTCCACCGCGCCTTAAAGACCTTTTTATTTCACCAGGCCGGCCTGGCCTAATTTCCCCCCTCTTTTATAAAAGATTTTTAAAATTTTAAATATCTTTTAGTATTTTATATATTCAATTTTAAATTGGTTTTAAAAGTTTGGGGTTTTAAATTTGTCAGGGCCAAAATTATTTAATTTGATTTTATTCTATTTTTTAAACTTTGTATTGTATGTGTTTTTATTGTTTGGCTGAGTCCTTCGGGAGTAGGGCGGTATAGAAATCTAATAAAATGAAAATGAAATGAAATGAAATTTGACTGGAGATCTCCCCTGTCTGCCTTCTCCCCGCAGGGACGCGGAGGGCTGGGCTCTGTTTTCGTCTGGGCCTCCGGGAACGGCGGTCTTCGGAAGGACAACTGCAACTGTGACGGCTACACCAACAGCATCTACACCTTGTCCGTGGGCAGCACCACCGAAAGTGGCCGAGTGCCGTGGTACACCGAGGCCTGTGCCTCCACCCTCACCGCCACCTACAGCAGCGGGGCCAAGGGCGAGAAGCAGATTGTGAGGCTCTCGGACGAGGGGTGGGCGGGCAAGGGGTGGGGATCTGTTATTCTGTTATTCTGTCTCTTTCTTCTCCACTGAAATGGGCTCTGAAAGATACAGGCGAGTTTTTTTACACCTGGGCAGGAAAAAGCCAAAAGGGACAAGTACAGATTAGGTGCAATCTGGCTCAAAAACAGGAACTGCGAGAGGGACCTTGGGAGTCCTAATGGACGATCCCTTCATTTCATTTTTTTTCCATTTTATTGAATTTGTATACCGCCCTACTCCTGAAGGACTTAGGGCGGTGAACAGCCATAGAATGAAACATATAGATACAAAATTTGGTATCTGGTTGACTCAGCCTTCCATCCTTTCAAAGGTAGGTGAAATGAGGACCCGGTTTGTGGGGGCAATAAGCTGACTTTGTATAAAATATACAAAAGTATGAAGGCTATTGCTTAACGCACTGTAAGCCGCCCTGAGTCTCCGGAGAAGGGCGGCATATAAATCAAATTAAAAAAAAAATTAAAATAAACTAAAACAAATTAAATAATTTGGCTGAACAAATTTAAAACCCCAATAATTTAAAACCAAATTTAAAATTTCCATTTAAAAAGGGGAAAGACTTAGGTCCTTCAACATGAGCCAGCCGTGTTTTGGCAGCAGCCAAAAAAAAAAAACCAAGACGATCCTTGGTTGCATAAACAGAGACAGAGAATCAAAATCAGATGAAGTCTTAGTACAGCTGTATAAAGCCTTAGTAAGGCCACACCTAGAGTACGGCATCCAGTTTTGGTCACCCAATTACGAAAAAGACGTCGAGACTTTGGAAAAAGTGCAGAGAAGAGCAACGAAGATGATGAAAGGCCTGGAGGTTAAAACACACGAAGGACGGCTGCAGGATTTGGCTTTGGCCAGTCTAGAGAAAAGAAGGACTTAGAGGTGACATGATAGCAGCCTTCCAATATTTGAGGGGCTGCCACAAAGAGGAGGGGGACAAATTATTCTCCAAAGCACCAGCGGGGCAGGACAAGAGACAATGGATGGAAACTAATCAAAGAGAGAAGCAAACCTGGAATTAAGGAGAAACTTCCTAACAGTGAAGACAATCAAGTCTCTTCTTATACTATAGGATCTCCTGTTTGAGCAGGGGGCTGGACTAGAAGACCTCCAAGGTCCCTTCCAGCTCTATTCTGAATGAATGAAATGGGGGAAGAGAGAGAGCTGGCAGATCAGCAGCTGTATTCTTGGAGAAATAGGGTTTGCTTTCCTTCTGGGGGAAGTGCCCTCTCCTACCCATACTCCACCCCCATTCCCATTTGCATCCCTTATGGCTATTCTGAGCCCCCTTGGCATCTTCCCATCAAGGAACATAAGAATCCTGGAGCTGGAAGGGACCTTGGAGGTCTTCTAGTCCAGCCCCCCTGCCTTAGGCAGAAGACCTTATCACAAACGGTGATAACCTCCAGGGAAAACTTCCAGGGATGGAGCACCCGGCAACTCCGGGAGGCAGGCTGTTCCATTGGACAGCGCCCCTGAGTTGATCCCCCAGATCTGACCCAGCAACGCTCGATCCCCGGCTGCATTATGCTCCAGTGAATTCTTGCTCTTGAAGTCCCCGCAGGCAGATTTTTCCTCTGCCTCCTTTCGGGGGATTTTGTTTCAATATTGTATTTCTGATCTGCTGGATTGTAGGAGTTTCTACATTTTATTTACAGTCTTCTTTTATGACCCTATTAATCTTCCTCTACACTTTGCTCATTTTTTCAAATATAGATTTTTTTCCCCATTTTCCCCCCTCCACCCTAACCCCCCCTCCCCCTCCCCTCCCCCCATGACTTCTCCAAAATAAAATCCAGATTAACATCAAATTATATAATACTTTACCATCCTTTTACACCACCCCCCACATGCTAACCATTTCTTTCTAACATTATTATTATATCCCCCCTATACTATACTATACATTTCAAAGCAACCTTCAGCTATAACACTATATAATAAATCCTAATTTGGCATTTATTCAACTCATAATCTACCCATTTCCTCCACCCCCAAACATATATCTCTTAATTCAAATCTTTTGCATATATTTATATCTAAACATAACATCCCTTTTCCTAAACTAAACAATCAGTAACCTAACCTATCTCCACCCATTTTCCTACAGGTCTACCATACATAATATTTTTAATATCTTTGTTCTTCTGCCCACACCACACCACTAAAAGATATTTCCATATATAAATAAAATCCTCAAATGACTTTAAATTTGTAATCCATATAATATCTTCTGTAATGTCTTTCAACTGGATTATTAATTCCATCGCCCATGTTAGGGTAATATCAGGTTCAGCTTCCAACAGTATATTCAGTATCTTCAATTACCATCTGCCCCCATCAATAATAAGTATTTTCGTATATAAAAAACCACCCGAGTGACTTTATATTTATATTCCATGTAGTATCTTCTGTAGTGTCTTTTACTTTCGGGGGATTTTGATCCCTTCTCCCATGTCTATCTAGATACTATCTGGAACGAGCTCCCCCCGGAAATACGGAGGATCCCGGATCTACGCACCTTCCGCCCCGCTCTTAAGACCTTTTTATTTCACCAGGCTGGTCTGGCCTAACCTTTCCCATTCTTTTTTTTAATGTAAATTTTAATTTAAAATTTTAATTTGTTCTTAACCTGGGGTTTTAAATTTGTCTTGGGCTAAATTGATTTAATTCGATTTTACTTTTGCTCTTAATTTTTGTATTCTATGTGTTTTATTCTGTGCCTGTTCACCACCCTGAGTCCTTCGGGAGTAGGGCGGTATACAAATTAAATAAAATGAAATGTCTCTAAAAGCCAGGAAGCTTCCAATCCTCCGGGCATTCTCCGTGGGAAGCAGACCTGAGTGCGAGTTTGCTGGCGGCTTGAGTTCCTACAAAAGAGCTCTTTTTTAAAAAAATTAAAAGAAAGTTGGGACCTGCCCAAGCGGGAGACTGCGCGCAGAATATATCCACGTTGATTTAGCCCTTTTGGCTTCACTTCTAGAGACGAGTCAAACGAAACGAATATTTGTCGGTGGGAGGCAGGGGGTCCCAGAAACCAGACATTCCACAAATAGGTTTTTCAAATAAAATCTGTCGTCTTTTCTTCTCCTTCCTCTTCCAGCCCTTTTCCTTGGCAGCTCTGAGGAAGTCACAGGCCGTACACAATTGTTGGGAGGAAGAAGGACGGTGGGAGGAAGAGCAGGATGGAAGCACAGCCGCTGACCAGACCAGGGGCGGGGGGATGGGGATGGGGAAAGAGACATAGTCACTCCCCTGAGGACTAGAGGCTTAAGTGGAATGAGCCTTGGAAAAGAGGAAAAGGGCCTTAACGTCGGTCCCTTCGATGCTGTTCGATTCTCTCTCCAGGTGACTACAGACCTGCGACACACCTGCACAGGGACTCATACGGGGACCTCCGCCTCGGCTCCCCTGGCAGCTGGCCTGATTGCCCTGGCTTTGGAGGCCAAGTAAGTGGCTTTTAGGTGGAATTCTGGGAGATGAAGTTTGTGCGTTTTATAAAGTGGCCGAGCTTGAAAACCACAGGCCTAAACTGGCCTTCTGGAAGGAAACGGGGTGAAGCAATAGAGAAAGTCCCAAATGCTGGCGGCTTAGCTGAACCAGTGTTTTATGTTATGGTTTATGTTATGGTTTATGTTCTATGTTATGTTTACAGTAGTGGCCAACATTGTGGAAACCTTTTGGGAAAAGTGTATTTTCTAAAACTAGCTAATAACGCCACTTTTTTTTTTCCTTTTGGAGTAGTACCCTAAAATTATATATCAGTGGAAAGATAATTTAATCAAGAATGTAATGCCATAACTTTTAGGAAGTGTTTGCTATTAGAATAGCAGTGGCAGTATAAAGAAGAAAAGTGAAACACGTAGAAAAAAAGAGATATACAAAAATGATCCCCATGTCAGTTAATCCTACAGGTTAGTTGGGTAACCTGTAGCATGAATTGCGGCCTTACAACGTCTTCCCATGGAGGGAACCAAGTCTTTTAATTCTGCAGCTGTTCTAATGTGAAACCAAGATTGAATTATTGCTTCTGTTAACTGGGTTTTATTGCTGGGTCGCTTCTGACTAACCAGTTTCTTTAGTCGGCTCCCTAGATTTTCAATTGGGTGAAGGTCTGGGCTCTTCCCAGGCCATTCCAGCAGTGGAATAGGATTATCTTATTTATTTATTTTATTTATTTGTTCTTATTTCTATACCGCCCTTCTCCAAATAGGACTCAGGGCGGTGAAACTCCCCCCCAAAAAGTGGTGTAATTTATTTATTTATTAGCCATCAAACCTCAAAAATACATTTTCCCCAAAAGGTTTCCACAATTTTGGCCACTACTGTATGTATATGTTACTTTATGTTTATGTTATGTTTATGTTATGTTACACTATCCCGTCTTTTATTATTTTGACAAATAACTCAAGGTGGCCAACATTATCCAACACACCTTCCGCTTCTTTTTCTCACAACAAAAAACAGGTGAGGTGGGTTGGGTGGAGAGAGATGGATTGACCCAAAGTCACCCTGCAGGCTTTCATGGTTAAGGTGAAACTAGACCTCACCGTCTCCTGGTGATTGTCCCAGAGTCACCCAGCTGGCTTTCATGTCTAAGATGGGACAAGAACTCACAACCTCCTGGTGATTGGCCCAAAGTCACCCAGTTGCCTTTCATGTCTAAGGTGGGACTAGAACTCACAATCTCCTGGTGATTGGCCCAAAGTCACCCAGTTGCCTTTCATGTCTAAGGTGGGACTAGAACTCACAGTCCCTGGTGATAGTTGGTTTTCATTCTTGAGGTGGGACTAGAACTCACAGTCTCCTAGTGATTGTGGTCCAGTCATTCAGCTAGCTTTTGTGGCTGAGTAGGACTAGAACTCACCATCACCTGCTTCCTAGCCTAGGTGCCTTCACCACTAGCCCCAACTGGCTGCCCTTATCACAGATAACGTGTGTCCAGTCACACTTGGCCAATAAAGAATTCTAGTCTGGTCTATATGGGCAGAGGAAGCTGGGGGACCTGCCCCCCCTCCCTCCCACCTTGCAGGACATACCTTATAGCAAAAGTCTGGATGGTTTTCTCTCTCCCTCCCCCCACCTCCCCTCCCTTTGTGCTTCTAGCCCAGCTCTGACCTGGAGAGACATGCAGCACCTGGTGGTAAGAGCTTCCAGCCCAGCTCACCTGCAGGCGAACGACTGGGTCCTGAATGGAGTGGGGCGCAAAGGTGAGGCTGGGCCCAACCGTTTTCCAGGAAGGTCCATACCACTTTTGGGTGAGGAAGGCTGTGTCCTCCCAGCCAGCCACAAGAGACCCTTGGGGTGTTGAGGCCCGTCAGCGGCCTGTGCATCTAGTAGCTGATTCTGACAGTGAGGAGGCTGGTGTGGTGCTGTGCCATCAGCCTGTGCAGCTGGCACTCGAGTCGGACAGTGAGGAGGCTGGAGAAGATGTGGTGCCAGAGGCCAGGGATTCAGCCAGGGCCTTCAGAACCTCCAGAAGCTCCCATAAGTGAAGAGGAAGAAGAGGAGGAGCCTCTTCTCAATGCACGGGCACGCAGAGCTGCCAAAAGGCAGGAGTGGCTCCTCAGGAGGAGGTCTCCTCGAGAGTAAGGCTTGGGGCTAATTGGCCACTCCCTTAGCCTATTTAAGGAAGGACGACGACTGAGGCAATTTGCAGGGAGCAACTTCGTTCACATTCCTTCGCGTCCTGATCTTAGTTTCCTGCAAATTGGTTCTGGGCTTTCTGCCAACCCTAGTAAGATTACGATTATTTATTCTTTGGATTCTTGTAGGCTGTTAAGAAAGTTAAATAACAGCCTTTATTTGAAAAAGACTGATTTAATTTAGTAAACTAAGATTTGTACAGACTTTGGGTGTGCTGCGTTCTTTGGGGTCCGTAGCTGGGGCAGAACACGGGGTGGGGGTGTGACAGCAGGAAAAGAATCAAGATGGCAGCCATGAAGTTTCCGTTGAACCGGGCTTTCTCTGCTCCTCCTCTAGGGAACATCCTCCTTTCAGAGATCAGGACAGTCCCCAACTCTGTCCACCTTTCATAAATCCCTAAAAACCTGGGGTGCCGAGTCTGGGCCCCCAAATGTGTGGGCCAAATGGGCCCCCAAATAGATAGATAGATAGATAGATAGATAGATAGATAGATAGATAGATAGATAGATAGATAGATAGATATATGATTTATATACCGCCCTTCTCCGGCTTACAGTGCGTTAAGCAATAGCGGCTTACAGTGCGTTACAGTGGCGGCTTACAATGCGTTAAGCAATAGCCTTCATACTTTTGTATATTTTATACAAAGTCAGCTTATTGCCCCCCACAATCTGGGTCCTCATTTCACCTACCTTTGAAAGGATGGAAGGCTGAGTCAACCTTGAGCCTGGTGAGATTCGATCTTACTTTAATTGCAGACAGCTGGTATTAAATTACAGTGCTCTGTCTGTGAGCTATCCAGGCTGTGAGCTATTTATTTTGGATGCTTCTCTTGTTTTTATTGTTATTATTACAACGGTTTTTGTTTTAGCATTTTTTTTATTGCAATAGATATATTTTTGAATTGTAAAGCGCCTGGAGTCTTTGACTGCGATGGGCGACCGTAGAAATCGAACGGATGAACAGACAGACCAGTAAACTGAAGCTCTATCTATTCTGTACGATGCCCATCTTACCTTGTGGGAAGATGGGTGGCCTGTAAAATTTGTTTGTTTGTAAAATAATAAAATAAAATAAAATATCCAATAAATAATAAAATAAAATCAATAAAATAAAATGAGTAAAATAAAGTAAAATAAAATAAAAATATCCAATAA